CTGATTTTCTATAAAAGTTATACGTTATAAAACTTAATATTTTTATGGAATTTTTATATCAAATTTTTTATTGGGTTATATATAATATTATTAACTAGTTAAAAAAAGGAAATGTTAAGCATTTATCTTATCCTGATCATCATTTGTTCTTATTCTCAATAAACATTGATATTTTAATCATTTCATTTAAGTTAATAATACAATAACTTCATTTTTAATTATAGTGAAACTGAATAATATTTATTTAGACCTTAATATATTAATTCAAATTGTTCAACGCACCCTTAAAAATAAACTTAATTATGTGATTTATAGGTTATGAGTTATTCCTCTTTTAAATTAAATCATATTGAAACATATCTCTAATGGATTTTAAGGTATAACTAACTCATACAATTTTATTAGATAAAAGCACATTTCAAATATTAAGTAATACTCAATTAATATATTACAAAGTTAGTAGTATATATCCATTACATTCTATGGTAAAACATCTATACAAAGTGCATGTTTGGGATGCATTTGTCATCAAGGATCAATTGTGATTAAATTGTTTATAGGAAAGATGAATTCTGCAAAATATTGTGAAATTCTTCAATTCCAACCTGTTTTAATATTCATGATGCTGATTACAGGTGATGCTTCCAACAAGACAATGCATCAACTTATATAGCAGGATGCACTTAACAATTTTTGTAATGAATAATGTTCTGGTGATTGATTGGTCTGCAAACTCTCCAACTTAAATCCAATATAGAATTTATGGACCATTTCTAAACAAAAAGTAGAGGAAAGGGTTAATAATTGGATTAGGTGCTTAGTGCAGATGCTTTTCAAGGCATAATTTAGCAGGAATGGGAAAGAATTGATCAAAATATTTTCTTTAATTTAGTGGATAGTACATCATGTCGGGTCGGATTAGTGGTTATAAAAAAAAAGTGTTTACAATTAATTATTAAATTTTTTTATTATGTTAATCTGTATATTATAATCTATTAATAGCATAAATATGAAACTAATTAAATAATTTCCAATATTTTATTTGTCACGATAAATTCCGTATATTTATGTCGCGGACTGTATTTATCATATTCCAGAGACAAAGGTTTTAATAGATGTTAACATATTAAAGTTATTAGGTTCCAAAGATATTATTATTATAAATATAAAAAAATTTAATGATCAACGGATTAAATATTAATATAAATAATATTCGAAGAGTACGGATTTAAAATATTACGGGGGTATAAGTTATTTTTCCATTATCTAATAAATTTAACTCAACTGCGTCGTTAAGAAATATATATATATATATATTTATTTATTAGTTTCAACCATGTTATCAAATCTTTATTTTTATATATTTATCCAAAATAATAAATATCTTAATATCCTTATTTTAGTTAATATTCGACATTTGTGATGATCGCTGCCACATATATATATCATGTACTTTGTGATTCATTTCGCACACTCGCTGTATTAAGACTCGTGTAATAAAAAATTTGATATTTCGTATAATTATTAAATGCTCAAATAAACCTCTTGAGTTTTTTAGTGATTATTGCTTAAATCTATTTTGGCATTCTTCCTATTCTTCTTAAAGTGGAGTAAAGATGTCGTGCCATTTGTTTACTTTGAGTTGACATATTAAATACACACGTCATTGACTCGTTCGTAGGATCTACTGTCCAAGTCCTTTTTTTTTTTTTATAAATTAGTTTCAATACGAGAAAAATATTAAAATTTAAAATATATTAATGCTTTACCGATTATACTCCGCAACATGAGGAGGCTAAAATAAATAAATTATTTTTAGTAAAAAAATCAATTCATGTTTAATTAAATCAATCTAGATAGATAACCTTGGCAGTGGTAGATCTTGAAATATCAGTTGATTTTAACATGACTGTTGTACCATCGATTCTACCTTCTTCAATTGAAGCGATTCCTTAAAAAAAAGAACATTTTTGAGTTTTCGGGGGAGTCCTTTTAGCCATGCGTCATTTTTAAATAATCTAAAGAATACCTGTTGGTTGAGCCAAAACCAATTCAATCTTTTCACTCATTCCAGGTGTTCTAATATATCCCACTTCGCTATGAAAGTTTGAATTATTTTTCATAGGATTCCACGTTCTTTGTCTATAAAAAAAATTACGCGTTTTATGAGAAATTATTTGTAGCGCAAAAATAAAATAAATAAATAATTAATTAATTAATTAATTCCTTTACCTATAATATAGCCAACCTCTATTAGCTTCATCGGGGTTGATGGTAATTTCCTCATTATAAACGAAATCACTAATACCTTCAAATTTACCATTTCCTTCTCCATACCACGTTCCAAATAAGAATTCCAATGGATGTTTTGATTGTTTTGTTTCTTTCATATCAGCGTCATCTGCTTGATTATGGGGATGCTCTACGTTATATTGCTGTTGCAATAATTGAAAATTTGTTTTATTGAAATAAATATTATTGATTTATTAAATCTGAAGTGAAACTACCATTTTATAAGTTTATTACATATATACTTTATCCTGTAAAGTTTCCACTTAAAATCATACATTGATACTTACTTGACTTTGAAGCGAATTAATCAAATCAATAATTTTTATTTGTGAAGGCCTAACAAATATTCCATGGTTTTGTTTGCAATCAAAGTAACGTTCGTCAGCGATCGAGCCGTTATTTTTACCCAAAGGTTCGTCTAGCTCTACACCGACCCATTTTCCTGTAGCAAAAGTAATATGTCCAACAAAACGAATTGTTCCCAATTTTCCTTGTATTTCACACCTTGCACCTACTACTAAATTTGAAGTTGGTTCCATATACAAAAACTGCTTCAAAGAGAATTAAATGAAAAAAAATTTAAAGTGTTTTGGATATCCCGTAATAAATAATACATCAGGTTGACAGTCATATGTTGAAAAACACATTTTTGCGGATGATTGCCCAGAAAAAATCAATGTAATTAATGTAATTTATTTGTTAATTAAATATAAAACGGATAATGTGCCACACCTCCTTTTTTAAATTAATCTCTTTAATGCCGTAATGCCGGCTGGGGGATGAATTTTTTTGTGGATACTGCGATAAAATTGACCCGTAAAATCAAAATCTTTTTTACTCCTAATTTATTCAAACCTTCTGAAAGAAAACATGAGCTCAATTAAATCTCTTGTTCCGCCAAAAATTTCGGTTAGTGGAATAGCTGGAGCTTCAGGTTCAACAGCAGCACTTAGTGATTTTTATTCAAAATTACCAAAAGGACCAGTTCCAAAAGTTCAACCGAGCGGACCTTTAGGACGATATTATGCAAGATACATTGCTACTAGCTCACCTGCTCCTATTTTACACGCTGCCCTCGCGATTACTTTGACCGGTTATGCCATTAATTATCACTTCAATTTGAGTAAGTAACATTATATATTTTTGATTTTTATTTCAAATAATTTAATTTTAATCTTAATTTATTACAGAACATCATAAGCAAAAGGAACACCATTAAAGATTAACAATTTTAATTAGTAAGTCTAGAATATTTAGAATATTTCTTTTGTTCAATGTATTTAATCAAATGGTTTTTAGTTAGTATTAACATAATCTATTTAAACACTTTTATTATTGTTACTGATATTAAGTTGTGGATCATAGGAATAATATTGACAAATTAAAATTGTGTTGAAACTATGAAATAATTATCATACTCAAATAAATTATAGAATTTTTAAAAAAAGATTTTGCAATTTTTTCTTTATTCGTTATATACATTGAAATATTCAATTTATCGCTTCTATAGCAAAGCCCATGCACAAACAATTCGAGAACGAACACAATCCCTTCTTTTACACTTTCAACCGAGATTGGGAAAAAAAAATCAATCATTATGAATCATAACGAATTATTATTCATTCTCAACATAGAGATGCCGCATGTATAATATCCAACACACTGCAATACTAGCCCATCTCCACATTCCAGTTCCAGTGTCTAAATAATCATAATGACAAAGTAAAAGATGTGTATATACGGCAATAATACCCGGCGTAGTTAATGACATGATGAAATTCAGGATTCTCCGACTCTAAATATATTAATATTACAAATTAGCTAATACGCAAGATTCCGAGATGTAAATTAAAATATTATGTATGTACCAGATTCTCTTCAACAAGTCCTCCCAACTCATCATTTTCTTCATTTTGCATTTTCAAGAAATAAAATGCACTCAAAATAACGCCTGAACGATATACGATTGCCATGAAAAAATTTAAAGATAAAGCTTTCTGAATGGCTGTTATCGATCGAATCTTTCCCACAAAATCCATCAAATGCTTTACAATAAGATGTGTATTTATGTTCACTCTAAACGACAACAATATAATTAAATAATTTAAATTAGTTTCATTTCTTATAATTTCGAGCATTTTCTAAAAAAAAAAAATAATAATAATTTTATATTAAAATTACTCTTTAAGAAAATCCATGGCCTTTGTATCGAAGTTCTGAAAGACTTGAAGAGGAACTTTATCTTTATCAATCAATAAATGATGATCTTGCACCGATACATTAGGTTTCCAATCGAGCGACAGCATATATATACAATATACATTATAAGTAAACTAAAATAAATAAGATTAGTTATATTAATCAAAAAAAAAAATAAAAAAAGAATTTATTTACCAAAAGAGATAAATCTGGCCAAAGATTTGTATCATCTATTTTATTTAAAGCCAACGAAATTGTGATTACAAGGGTTAGTGTCATAAATGATCCGATCAATGTCGCGTTATATATATCCATTCCTGATATCGTATAGATGCTATAAAGTACATAACTTGATGCAACGTAATTAATAAACGATATTACAGATATAAATATCTATGAAGAATAATTAAAAATGATATAGTTACTTGAAATCGTTAAAGTATAATTCAAATCGTTTTCAGAACTACCATACTTGTATTCCTTCGTCTTGCTCCAAATATTGTTGAACTTTGTGTCTAAATATAATAATAACTATTGCTGTAGAAGCACCTTCAATGATTGCGAATAATGGCGCTAAATATGTCAAAAAAGCTTCATAATAATTTAAAATAGTCGGTATTTGTTTTTCTCCGATCAACGTGTATGTAATTTGAAATGAATGGATAAGAAAATAAGGAAACAAGAAGGGTTGTGATATTGTTAAAAGTTGTAACTACAAAAATGGGATAAAAGACATGTCAATTATTATTCAAGTTGATTAGGCATAAATGTTCTTCATATCACTTACAAATATCCAACCTAAACCCTGATTTTTCCACCACAGCACTCTTGCTAAACCTAAAATACTGTAATATATAAATAATGATAATGATAAAGCCAAACCGGCTGTTTTTCCTCCTATGTCAAATGCAATAGGTAATAACAATAAAAACAATAAATGATTTGTTCCGTTGAAAATCAGCATAATTAATCAGTAAACGCGTAAACGCCAAAAACGACGAAAGATTTGGGAAATAAATATCAAACGCCACGCAGATCATTTTCATATTAAAAAATTTCGTTTCGTGTAACTATAATTAAGCTACTTTACTTTAGGCCGGGCAAATTAAATTTTTATCAACTGTCGACTGCACACTTGTCTCACTTCTCACTTCTCACCTACAAGTACTGCGTTAGAAGACGTGAAAAAATTTATTGTGGACTAAAACTTGATGCTGACTTTGAAACTCTTCGTTGCCAAGATGATAGCTGATGAACAGCTTGTCAGTCATCCTTTTGGGATTTCTGGTGGAAAAGTTATAAAACTCGCAAAGGTGATTAAGGAATTAAATAGTCAAAGTAAGTTCTGTAAAATATTTTTTTTATACGTCTTGCGTATTATTCAACAGATGTCTTTCAACATATTTATTTTCGTAGTATTTATTACTTGTTCCTAAGATTTACTTATTCATTTTTTCTCTATCGTTTCATTTTCTAACTCTCACTTTTCATTTTACACTACAAGAAGCAACTATAAAGACTCCTAAATGCCAGTTCTGCCATGGAATGATTTTCTTATTAATGCCTTTTATAACGCTCATCAATAATTCTGAAGAAACTAAAAAAAGGACAGGCAGCAATAAAATCCTGCAATCTCAAAATCTGTTTATTTTATATCACAGAGATATGAGCGCGAGGTTGAAGGCTGAATCTGCTGATGAGAAAATAAAAGAAGCAAAACGTTCAAAAGAAATTGCTATTAGGTGGGAAAGAAGAGAAAGCCCTCTTTTACGCTCTTTCTAGGTTAGCAAAGCAAAGACATATTGAAGTGTATGGCAAAGATTACAAGTATTTTCCAGCAAGAGCAAAGTAAAAAAAACAATGATAAAAATATAGATGACACCAGACCGATATCGTCTAAACCAAACCGGTTTCCTTCTTTTGTGATTATCCTCCCTTTTTCCAAATCTACTTACATCGATCTGAATATTCCATTCCTTAATAACTGTCAATTCTAATAGATATAAGCGCAAACTTATTTTTTTAAAAAACAATTTATTAAAAGAAAATAAAATAAAACCACCAAACATTAATTTTATTTATATTATCTAAATATTCCTTTAAATTTTATTAATTAATAAATATAATATTAAGTAAATTATAATTTATAATACTTCATTATTTCTTAAATTTAAATTTATATCTTTTTTTTCAACTTTTTCTTTGATTTCTTTTCTGATGTCTATAATATGTAAACACTTTTGTTACAAAATTACTATTTAGATAATTTTCTAGACAAATTAAACATTTGTATAAATGTAAGTTTTTGCTTATTTTATAAAAAATGTTTTGTAGTTAATAATGAAAAAATTAAAAAATATTGTTTTGCAGTTAAGAATAATAATGTATAAGCAATAAATTACAATATATATATACAAATACAAAAAAATCATTTTTTTATTTTATTTTTAAGTATATCCTTTATAAATTTATGTCTATTAATATCTTTTTACCAAATTATTTAATTAACTTTTTGGTCATTTTATGTGTACAATTTTTTAGATTAGAATTTAAATTTTAATTGCAAACTGATTTATAGATAAATTATATAGTATATTTAATTTATATAGTTAATAATATATAAAATATTTGTTATATCAAATTAATAAAATAATTTCATTTAAAATATTAATTTTACGAGTTTAGTTATATCAAATTAGTAAAATAATTTCATTTAAAATATTAATTTTACGTGAGTTTTCAAATTCAAAAAAATATATTATTTGGGTTCATTGCCAGCAAAATCAAGATCTGAGATAATTTTATAATTTTTGATAAAAAAGCAATTAAAATTTACCCTGATTTTTAAACCAATTATTGATGATTAAATTTGCTACTATTTTTAAAATTGACTTGTTTGATTTCTTGTTGAT